ATATATATATATGTATGGATGTTTATATAGAAATAAATATATATATATATATATATATATATGTATATGTTTATATATAAATATATATATATATATATATATATATATATAGATAGATAGATAGATAGAGATTGAAATGGACTAAGCCTGACGATTAATATATTTTCTTTTAATGTGTTATTTTTATAGATATATGTTTTTAAGTAAATGCTCTGTTTTTAATTAAACAGTATTAATTACATTTACCGGTCTGAATATTCGAGAAATTTCGTAGAAAATATGCGTTCTCCGACAGGAATCAAAACTGTATTTATATACACAAAGTTTCATTTCACCTGACGTGCTGTACCATTCAGCTACCGAGAAGTGTCTGGTTAGAAAAGACAGGGTGAGTGTTGAAATAGGAATTAATATTGCATGATATTTGTCAGTTTGACTTTTGATTAGATTTTAATAAATAAACAGTTAATGGATTTATTTTTAATCCTACATTGTTATTAATTCAAATAGACTTCTATTGGACGCTCCGTATTTGAAATAGACGTCCCACTTTTATAATACAATAAAAATACACCCTGTTTGTCTATATTCTGAGATGTACCTTATTTACATTATTCGGACTATTGTCCTCATCTTTGTCGCCATATTTATCACAACGTTTCGGCGGTTTTACGATCCGGCCTTCTTCAGGTGGTTGGAATGTCGAACTGAACCCTTTATTTCGCTCACTGGGGTAGACTGTTCTAGTTCCACGTGCCATGTTTTGATGGATGTCAGTTATCAGTTATCTCCTGTTAATTTTCCTCTGAAAGTTCTCCACTGCCTTAACCGGGTATTGAACACACACTCTCCTCAGCCGTCCAATCATAGAAATAAATACAATATGGGAACCAGTAATAAGGAGTGCCAGAGAAAAGCGATAATAACAACAAAGTTGCAATATAAGCTCTGGTAAAAAACATGTAATGATAACAACAAAAATTGCAATATGAGCAGTGGTAAAAATGGTTGCTGAAGACATTAGGTTTATAATACCCAGAAATTAATACACAGATGTCCTAAAGGACACATGGCACAATGGATAAAGGCGTTGGTTAGATCCAGTGACAGGACTCTAGAACTAGAGTGAGCGAAATAAAGGGTTCAGTTCGACATTCCAACCACCTGAAGAAGACCGGAGGTACAACCGCCGAAACGTTGTAGATAAATATGGCGACAAAGATGAGGACAATAGTCCGAATAATGTAAATAATGTACATACACCCTGTTTAATAAATATAAATGGAGAGTGTATTTCAAATATGAAGTTGTAATATATATATATATATATATATATATATATATATATATATGTGTGTGTGTGTGTGTGTGTGGTTGGAATGTCGAACTGCTATTTACCCATAGCTGGAGGGAGAAGAAGAGGATTCACACCTTTCCAAAGGGTATTAGCACGTAAGTGAATACAATGGATTCGACTGGAATTCGAAGTCGGCTCTGCGATTTCTCAATCTAAGCTGCTATCCATTACTCCACCGTGCCTCCTCAATACTGTCTTGTGTCTTAGTAGCTTTACTGCCTTGCATGGAGTGATATGATTTTTATATTTTATATATATATATATATATATATATATATATATATATATATATATATATATATATATATATATATATCAAACCGCTTAACCAGAAAATGTGTTTGTAAATGCTGTGCTGAAAATGTGGCTAAATAACCAATCCTCAAAATTCTTTTCTTTTAGTTGAACTGTGAAATTTTTCGTATATTTATATGCTTGAACAACTGAATTAATTTTCTTATATTTTTATCGGTAAAACGATATTGAATGAACTGAATATACGCGTTTCTATTCATTCTATCATAATCTCAAACGGATTGATTGTCGACATTGTTATATGTTTTTAAATTAAACAGTATTAATTACATTTACCGGTCTGAATATTCGAGAAATTTCGTAGAAAATATGCGTTCTCCGACAGGAATCAAAACTGTATTTATATACACAAAGTTTCATTTCACCTGACGTTCTGTACCATTCAGCTACCGAGAAGTGTCTGGTTAGAAAAGACAGGGAGAGTGTTGAAATAGGAATTAATATTGCATGATAATTGTCAGTTTGACTTTTGATTAGATTTTAATAAGTGAGTGCTCATGTATTTACATGTTTTTTTTTTTTTTTTTTTTTTTTTTTTGATTAACTAAAATATAACATTTAATAATACCATATAAGTCTCCCTGAGAATGTACGGCAATTCTGTAGAGGTTTTAAAGTATAGAAAATATAATGAGTTTTATTTTATTTACTGATGGCCACAGCTATTAGGGACATGTGATTAAATATACTTTAATGTTTAAGAAAATACTCAGTATAATTGTTTTTTCGGTAATAAGCATTATAACATAGCATAAATCGCTATATTGTGGAAAAAGGAATTTTCGACAATTATGGTGTTTTTTTAAAACATTTATCAAAACGGCATTCTTGTACATGTAGTTATGGTTAATTAATTACTAATTTATTTAATTAATAACTGTTTATGCTTAGTTGTTGATATTAATAGCTATGTGGCAATGAGTTAAAATTTTGAAATAATGCAATAATAAAAATTTAAATTCCATCTGTCTGACAGATGTCGTGATCTGTTTATAGCATAAACGAGATAGAGCCAACACGACTAAGATAAGACTATTTTATTTCATTTTATTAGTTGCAAAGTGAATGTTGTTTGAAGCTTATAGATATGAGTTTGCTAGTATGTCTGTAAAATGTTAATCTTCTACTACAATCTGTACTAATATCTGGTTCGTGACTTAATTACAGGGTGCGATTGATAAATTGTCGTCTAAATGACGCACAAATGAAAATAGCACTGACATCTCATTTTAACAGATATAATTACCAAATTACACAAAAATATCTTGAGATACTAAAGAGTAGATTTAATATAATCGCCTTTGGCTTCAACCCCGGCCTCCAGATGACTTCGGAATCTCATGCAACTCTTCTGAACGATCCCCTTTTTTAAGTTGTTGGATACTGCCATAATCATTGTCTTCTTCTATCGTGTTAAAAAGATTACTGTTTGTCTTTCGCTCAACTACGCCCCACTCATAATAATCAAGGAGACTGCCGTCTGGAAAGTTACGTAGCCAGTTATAAGAGGTGATGTAGTCGTAGAATTGTCTGACAGCCATGACTAGGTTCTCTTGCTTGTGTGGTGAAGAGTCCTATTGTCAGGTTTAGGGTCTTCCAGCAGCCATCTTCTTGACGCAGGACAGGACTACCTCCTCAAGGCACTTGTTGTAGGTCTCAGATTTGAGTCTGAGTTCCTTTGGGAAGATGAATGGGGGTATAACTTTGCCATCAACAGTGATCACTCCAATCACATTCGTAATCACCATTAGACTCTTCCAACTCTTTCCGAATCCTTTGTACTGTTCTCAGATTGACCCCCAAACACTGAAATTTTCGTATTGATGCTTCCAGCGCGAATGCCAAGCAGTACAGCATGCCGTTTCCAAATTTCTGGTGGAGTGAATTGCGTCATGGTGCTCTTTTCCTCATAGACGGTACCCAACTGACCCTGCTACCTGGTGGAGTAGAAAAATAAAAAATACACAAGGCGGATGAGCGAAATTAAAAATATAAAACAGCTAAAATTTACCCATCGCATCCAGGTGTATATAAAGTGGGTACACAGCTTTTATCTTTCATTGTTTTTTTAAAAAGCCTTTTTTCTTTTATCATTCTTATGATTTCTACTTCCTTTCTTCAATTCTGAGAGATGCTCTTTCAGGAGGCGCGTGATAATAGATCTTCAAAATCCCTGGCCTTTGTTGCTCTAAATTACTTTCATTCCATATTTTCCCTTTTCCCTAAAGAGCATCATATCTGGTATTTTGCTTTAGTGCTGTGGTCGGTCTGAATTTTGAAGTTCCAAAGCACTTGATATTTTTAAAGATAGAATCTGTTTTCTACCGACATCATCAAAGTACATACGGACTTTATCTCTTGCTAGGTTTTCCCGTACACACATACGTTGGTAGCATTTCTCTTACGATATTCCTGTCTCTCTCTCTCTTTATATATATATATATATATATATATATATATATATATATAGATAACAAATTTGAATGTCAGTGTGTTACTGTGTCACACCTTTTTCAATTCTACTCCTAAAGACCGTAGCCCAACATATCATACCATTTTGGAACCAGGTCTACTCTATGACCAAATTAAAACACTTCCGGGCCAAATGCAATCCTGAAATTTTGGATCCTCAAGTTTTCATTACTGCGATTGTTTTCGGCGATTTTTATGTGACTTTTTGTGACGAATGTTTTTTTACGATAACAATTTTTATAACTTGGAAATAAATTTGGCAATATTGGAAATTAATTGCAAAATCCAGCGAAAGTCACACATGAAATAAAAATAATTGTTCGTACGGAAAATAAGGACCTACGTACATCAAGTTGGCCTTAACTTAAGTGGCGTCAGAAGAATTATCCTTGAATTTCTAAATGATAAGCTTGAATATTAATGCACCTCTTAAATGCAGCTATCAATTTTCAGTTCTTCTATAATTTATTGTTGCCTATCGCATCTACTCATCCCTACCTATTGTGATAAAGCCCCAATTAAGAGCCCTCCATAGGAACTAGCTTAAATACCACCCGCAGTGGTGTCGGTTGAGTTATGCCGACTTCGAAGTTTCGTGAACGCATTGTAGCAATGCTTTCACTCTTCAGATCTGTTGTCTTCTCTGCTGCTACTTCCCAATTTTTGTCGTATTTATTGTTTGTGCAATTTGATATAATTGAATGGGTGAGTTTTTTTTCATTCAGTGAGTGTTGTGATGAATATTAAATGAAAGAAATAGTAGCAGAGAAGACAACAGCCCTGAAGAGTGAAAGCATTACTACAATGCGCTCACGAAACTTCGAAGTTGGCATGACTGAACAAACACCACATTAAGTTAAGGATAAGCTTTCTCTCTCTCTCTCTCTCTCTCTCTCTCTCTCTCTCTCTCTCTCTCTCTCTCTCTATCTATCTATCTATCTGTCTAGTTAACTAGATATATATATATATATATATATATATATATATATATATATATATATGTGTGTGTGTGTGTGTGTGTGTGTGTGTGTGTGTGTGTGTGTGTGTGTGTAGGACTGATGTCACCATCTTAGCACTAAAACAACTGAGGGAAATTTATAAGAAAGCCTTTCGGTGAACACTTCTGTCAGAGAAAAATGTATGTTTAGTGACATATTTTTGTCGGTAACCTCCGATAGATATTACTAATGTTTTTATTATTATTTTATGCTCTATTCTGCCCCAGAAACTAGAACATTTATCTGATGACTCATTTTTTTTTCTGCGCAATTATTTGTATTTTGCTACTCATTGTATTTTCACACTAGTCATTTTTAGTGATTTTTTATTCCTTGCGATTAAGTAACTATTTTTAAAAACCCAAGTCCCTGATGTTCATATGATTTTTAATCTGAACCAAGCTTATTTTAATTTTGTTTTCAATTTGAAATGGTTTCTTTCATTGTGGGCTTTGATTTCTTTCTTCTTTCTTCTTCTTTTTTTTTCATTCCTCTTTCAGTGTACCAGATTTGTTTGTCAAAACATCTTTCTGCGGAATTTATAAAATGCTTCATTCTCTTTATTCTCAAACTAGAAAGTAGGACAAGGTTTTTTTCTTTTTCTCTTTTTCAGTAGTGTTATTTTGTTTTGTTTTCCTTTATTATTTTTATTTTTAATGTTTTTTTAGTGATATTTTGTTTTGTTTTGCTTTTTTTTTAATTTAGCATTTCCAAAAAATTCATTGGAAAATAGAAATTTAAAAAAGAATCTAGGCGCATAGTTTTGGAAATAGTAATGTGACCGCATTTCTTGTAGCAAAAGAAATCAATATGGGATGATCATGCCAATAATTACAAGAACATTAGAATGGTTTACCGCCACTGAAAAGCATCTTATGATCTTCATTATGGCGTTAAAATTACTATAGTTATAACAGTAGTAAACAAAGCTTCAACTACATTAAATTTTAAATCCACACACATATATAAACATAAAAACGTGAATCAGGTACAATCAATTGCTGAGAGCTCCTGACGAATAGATTGAACAATTAAAAAAAAGGTTTGTCTGCGAAACTTTGGAATCGTAGATTTAAATATAACACCAATCAGCTGACAAATTTTTCTGTATAAATTATATATATATATATATATATATATATATATATATATGTATGTATGTATGTATGTATGTATGTATTTATATATATATATATATGTATGTATGTTATGTTATGTACGTATATGGGATTAATACAGATAAAATTATCTGAATGTTCTGTAAGCAGTCGGACATATGGAGCATCTTATATAATTTATATCCAGAAATGAAAGAAAATAAGAAAAAAAAAAAAAACTTAACTACCATACATTGTCAATCCTTTTTATCGAAACATGTACAATAGAGATATTGCTGCCCAAATACAGAATTATATATATATATATGTATATATATGTGTGTGTGTGTGTGTGTGTGTGTGTGTGTGTGTGTGTGTGTGTTTATACGCCAGGCAAACCTTAAAAAAAAAGATTCTTTCAAAGACTGGATAAATCTTTTCGGTGGACCAACGGCCATCCTACACAGGCATGAGGATGCAGAAATTAAATGGGTTGGTGTCCGGCAACACGCTAAACTCACGGCATAGCAGGAGAACACACTTTCTTATTCTATATGATATCTGAGGTGACACCACACACAGAAGCGCGCAGACACACACATACACGCAAATATATATATATATGTATGTATATATATATATATATATATGTGTGTGTGTGTGTGTGTGTGTGTGTGTGTGTGTGTACACATATTGATTGCTTTGTTTTTTTACGGTTTATCAACACTTTTCAGATTATTTTGTTTTAAATGTTTTGTTTGGAGAAAATTATGATTCAGTGATATAAGTCTTACTAATTAACCCATAACTGTGGGGGGGAAGGAGTAGATTCATTTCCACACATCTCAGCTTGCACCGTGTGGTATTGCAGCATGCCTATCACTAAATATTTAAAATCTGTTACAAGGTCACGGTTTTTTTGGTTCCATTTACTACTAATGATCATCTTGGTATTCCACGTGGTGTAGCTTAGAATGGTATTATTACTTTTATTCAACTCACTTGTCTGAGATTTATCCAACACAAAGTCATAAGTCTTGCGCATCGAGTTAGGACGGAAGCGTCTACAAAAGGAATGTTCTGTGTTAGCTGGTTAATAAACACTGCTACTAGGTGACAGATGTTTTTTATTCCAAAAAACAAAACCATATATTATCCATTGCAAGAAGAGAAAGCTACGGGAAATGATTATATGTTCGTTTTGCTGACAACGCGGATTAAAAAAAAATTCCCTGTCCATAATCCATAATCTTTTAATTTTTCACATTGTCTGTAAATATGCCGTTTCCGTATTTCATTTTTTTCCTTTTTGCATTATTTTTTCATCACGCCTTCATTTAGGCTCATTTTTGATTTAATATTCGTGTCCTAATTCGCTAGTCGTCCGTTTTGTCTATTATTCTCAAAATTAAAATGGAAGACCTTTTACAATTTCCATGAGGGGATTCTTAATCAGCGACATTTAAATCAATCTCTTAGTTCTTGGTTTCCTGTTCACGGTTAAATATATGAAATAAAAATATAAATTTCCACGCATGCACATACACACGAAAGAACGCGTGCATCGAGGCACGCCAACGCACAAATATATACACATACGTCGGGGACTCAAGAGTCTAATGACGTGAAAATGTTCGGTATAAAAATATTTATTTTTCAATTATAGTGTGACAGCGACAATTTTGTTTCTGCTGTCTGAGCTGTATACTATGAGGCAAATATGTAACTGACCGAATGTTTTATCCGTCAGTCATCGAGAAAACCAGCATAAGTGGGAATGGGCAGAGAAAAGTAGACTTACGACATTGTCAAAAAGCATTAGTGGAAGAAGAACGTAAATAGTCTCAACATAAATTGGATGGCGTTTCTTTATTACAGATTCTTATGAATATATATATATATATATATATATATATATATATATATATATATATATGCAATTTGTTGCTGGTAGAGATAGTTCCAAAGGTGATATTAATCCAAGGAAGGATCAATGTAGACTATAGATAATAATAATAATAATAATAATAATAATAATAATAATAATAAAAAGAAAACCTTAAATATTCATTTCAGTTAGAATTTATTTCATGAATATATATATATATATATTCAACTCTTCAGATCGAAAATTTTATTGAAAACTAATATATATATATATATATATATATATATATATATATATATGCAGAAATATAGTTTTAAATGGGATAAAGTGCTCACAATCAGAGATAGAGCGTATGTAAATATAAATATAAAAGTGAACATTTAAGTCAACACTCAGAGGCGACAGGCTGTTTCATGCTAAACGCAATCGTTTATATATATATATATATATATATATATATATATGCAGAAATATAGTTTTAGAATGTGATAAAGTGCTCACTATCAGAGATAGAGCGTATGAAAATATAAATATAAAAGTGAACATTTAAGTCAACACTCAGAGGCGACAGGCTGTTTCATGCTAAAACGCAATCGTCAGGCCTATATATATATATATATATATATATATATATATATATATATATATATATATATTGGCTGTGTGTGTATGACAGAGATCATTTATTTATGGGTTAATGTGCTCAATATTAGAGAACATTGATAACAACACCCAATGGCAACAGTCAGTTTCATGCTAAACGCCATCATCAGTCTCTCTATCTATCTATCTATCTATCTATCTATCTATCTATCTATCTATCTGCGTGTATATATATATATATATATATGTGTGTTTGTGCGTGTGTGTGTGTGCTTATCTGTCTATATTTCTGAGACGTATTGAAGTATTGTAACTATTTACACTATTTACATTGTTCGGACTGTAGTTCTCATCTTCATTGTGACATTCACGACGTTTTGGCCGTTGTATGCTCGGGTTACTTCAGGTGATATTTGTCGGAATTCCCAACTGAAATTCTTATTTAGTTGATTTTATTTTGATTATAGTTTGAAGAATTTTCATAGTTTTTCTTAACTAACGCCAATTGCCATGTGAGAAACACACAACAAGTTAGTTTTACATTTAAAATTAACAAAACGAACAAATAGTAACAGAAGTAAAAGCGAAAAGCAAGAAAAAGACAAGAAAGAGTTGTTTTCAAAAGGAACTTAAAGTATATGAAACATTCAGCAGATATAACTTTTTTAAACGGAATTTGAAAGTGAAAGTGAAAGTGAAAGTACAAAATGTTAAAATAATTTTCTCTTAGATTAAATATATATGGAAAGTAGAAAGAAAATCTCGAAAGAACAGAAGAAAAAAAAGAACGTATAACGGAAAAATAGTAACATCAAAAATATTTGACGGAAGGGTTGGCTAGCGTTATAAAAATACGTTCTAATCGCGATGGAAATCGAAAGAGAGACGAGACGGTTAAACAATGTCCGAGATAGATTGGCACTCTATAAAGAATCTTAGATAAACATGAAATATTCAAGATAGGCAAAGACATACATACATACAGCCAGACCGACAGACAGAAAGAAAGAGAGAGAAAAAGGAAAAAAGAACTAAGGTCACGGTTTTCCTTCTTTTCTGTTCTGTTCTCAAAATGAGAAGTCAGAAAGAATTTTAAAACCACATTTGTCATATAATAAACAGCAGTGATTCGTGGTTTCTGAAACAATGCATAATATTATACGCTCTTGTCTCGGCAATGAATTTGGTTCTTGGAGCTTCAGATAGTCGAATCAATCTCTCAGTCGGACGAGATCGGATATTTATTTACAAATATCCGAGAGAGCCTTTA